TGAATACATAATTCTTAGAAGTTAGCTTTTTCTCTTAACTGAATTTTGAAATGACTTGTTTTCAACAATAGGTGGTGCTACACGGGGTTTTTGTTTATCAAAATGCATTGCCTATATGAACTTTGTTATTAATTTCCAGTGTAACACAAAAACTCAATACTTTATGTACATATTTTACTTTGGTAATTGATGGAAACTGTATCTTTTATTAACTCTGACATAGTTATTATGGGGGCCCCAAATTAACATTCTAAGAGATCGCTTAAAAAATTCAGCAGCTGTCAAACTTTATGAAAACATGTAGAAGCATCTTCAAGCTTTTTTCCCTCTATTTATCTTCAACTTTTTAAATGTTATTTAATTAATTAAAAATATTTATTTGCTTTTTTAACTCTTAATGATGAAAAAGAGCTTACAAATTTTTAAGAAGGATTATTAATGTTTACAATGATCTTTGTCTTAACTGGAAGAGAAAGTTAATCAGTAAAACCTCCAGATAAATGTTAAAGTGATCAGGGCTCATTATGTATCTTAACCTGAAATTAGTGGACAACTATTTCAAAATCCAAGTTAAGATACATACTCGCATGTCCACAAATGCACACATGAGCACCTGTACACATGGCAAAGAAATCACTTAAACCTAAGAGTTCTTAGAAAAACAAAATGAAACCAAATTAACCTGAAAAAAGTTACAAGAGAGGGGCTGAAGAAGTTTCTCGATAGTGAAGAATACTGGCTACTTTTCCAGAGGATTGGGGTTTGATTTCCTTTCCAAGCACCCACATGGTGGCTAACAATTGTCTATAACTCCAGTTTCAGGGGATCCAATGCCCGCTTATGGCCTTGGGTTTGCATGCATGTGGTGCACTTACATGCAGAAAAAGCACTCATACACATAAAATAAAAATAAATAAAAATTTTTAAAAGTTTTATGAGAAATAAGTTCATTATTTAGGACTGAAGCTCCAGGAAGAGGAGTCCTCACATTTCTTTTCTGTACAGTGTGTCTGATATAACACCAGCCAATTATTTATATTGAGCTTTACAGCTCATAAAGTACTATGTGCATTTGAGTCCCTCAGCACCATCAGTATTTGGGAATGCACAGTAGTGCCACCAACTCTGAGATACTGGAGAGGCAGACTGAGAACAACCAAAGCTCACCTAGCTACACAAGGCTCAGCTAGAACTCCTGTCAGTCTGTCCTCCATTGGGCACTCAATACAATACTGTATTCTTCTGCCTGACATGCTAGACACAGGGCCTGTGGGTGAGCAGGACACATTAGAGAAGTTAGATGGTGACACAGATGATACAAACTCAAATATTTGATGCATGTATGTGATCAGATATTACAGAGTGATTACAGCTACAAATTAAAGGATTATTTTATAAATAATAAATTAAAAACTTGATTTTTTATGATTTATGGTGATTTTTATGTTTTCTTTTTTCAATAATACTGTCTTCTTAAAGAAAGATATGCCTGTACTTACCTATCAATATGCTACTTTTTCACAAAGAAAGGATAAACTGTGGTTTTTGACAGTTTATTTAAATAGGAAATAAACAGGATTTGGCTTTCTTACTGTTCTATCTTGTAGTGGGGGACAGTTACAGACTTAAATCAGGTGAGGTTCTCATACGCTATGCTTATTTCTAAAGATGAAGATGGCAGTAAGTAATTGCTGCTGACCAGAATTAAAGAAACATGTTGATCATTTAAGGGACCTTTCACTCCTCATTTGAAAATCCAATCAGTAGAAGAGGTGGCTCAGCTTGCTTTCATATGAAAATGAAGAACAAGTTAAGGCTTAGGAGGAAACACCTAATATCACAGGGAGAGGGCAGACAACAGGATGCAATGTGTGGCTGGCTAGGTTAAGAAATGACTGTTTTGAACAATTTCACTGTGTGGCTCTTAAGAGTGGAATCTTTGCTACAATGCTGTGATGCAGTCTGTGCAAACCCTTGTTACTTTGACTGGCTGTAAAGGAACCTGGAATGCAAGGAGAGAAGGCACTGGTTGAGCATTCTTCTGTGTGTCCTTATAATTTGTCAAACAATTAAGTCAGTCATGACAAAGTGCACAGTGATGAATTGTAGAATCACAAAGCTGAGAGTCTACGAAGCATTTGGTGTCATTTACTCAATGCAGTTTCATCTCCCACTTCCAGAATTAAAAACCAATGTAGAACATCAGAAGACAGGAATTACAATTCTGAAAATGAAGACAGTTTATAGAATAGCTTAGGTTACTCTATTTCTGTCAACTAAAAGGCTGTTTACAAAAGGAAACTGAAAATAACATGGCCATCCTTGCAGCTTTTCTTGGGATGTTTAGTAATACAGTGATTATTGCCCTAAAAGGAAAGAATTTAGTTTCTACTACTGGAGTTTCATTGATTTATTAGATTCACATATGCTAACTCATCAACTTCTGTGATTGCTTTGTTTGCCGGTTTGTTTTTCAACAAAATCAAAGGTATCAATGATGACATAGTTAATTCCATAAGTGATAATATAACTTTATCATGACTTCACAGATGCACTGAATTAATAACGTACTGTTTGTCAAACTGGGAATAAACACAAAAAATGTAATGGTTCTGATACTTTTATTTTGGTAGATGAAGTAAATACATCAACAAATCTCTTAGAATTTTGCTTTTAATTTCTTTTAAATTACTTGTATTTATGAAACTTTACAGAGGATTTTTCTTCACCTTTTTCTTTTTCAACAGAAGAGACAGTCCATCACATTTTTCAGGAAACTGAAGGAGTCAGGCATCCCTTCCCACCCCTCTTTATTTAGGTAAATCTTAATATAGGGAAAGAGATTACAGTGCAATTTCCCCACTGATCCTCACTGTCTGTCAGAAATGCTTTATATTCTGGTTGTCTCCTTCCAGCCAAGGACCACTGTGATTAAGTTTACTAAATAAAAACCAAGCTCTATTTTAAGCTAAACATTTATAATTTCTACCAAGTCTTGCAACTGCTGGCAATAAAAAAGTGAAGCAGGTTTCATTAACGTCTTCTAGATGCAAGGTGGTGAGACTTCCTACAGTAAGGTGTAAAGTCACATCTAGAGAAAAACATACTAATGGTAATTTCAGGGGAAAATGATATAAAAGGTCATTGATGCAGTATATTAGATCTCTAAATAGAATATGACCCATGGTAATAGTGTTTTGTATAAATTTTCATGAATTTTATTATGTTTTAAAACTTATAATAAAATGGCTTTATGGAATTTGTTTTAGCACACCTCTGGCTGAAAAAGTCTGAAGTATATTATAATAAAACTCTTTCAAATGATATTTTTATGAAATTAAAATGTCCACTGGTCCCTCTCCTGGCTTTATATCACATTGGTGAACTGATCTCTCATCCAAAGTGGTACAGGGTTGGGAAGCCAACTGTGGAGAACCAAGCAAGACTCTGGTGTGAGATTCTACTTCTGGCGGACTCTTCCAAATCCAGTCAAAAGCCAGGTGTGGTGGGTAGCTCAGAGGCAGATGTAGGTGGGTTTATGTGAGATGGAGGCCAGCCAGGTCTACACACCAAGTTCTATGCCAGCTGTAGCCACAGGGAGACCCTGTCTCAACAACAACAACACAATCCCCCAATCCAGTCTCAAGAAATGGTCCACTGCTGTCAAAACCTCATCAATGAGAAGCAGAGAGTACACAAAAAGACCAGCTTTATATTTTGAAGCAGGCCATCTTAATACTTTCCACAGAATGTGGGGTGAAGGGGCTGTGGCTAGGCTCCAGGCTTGTTCCCCTCTTCTAGTGCATTTCCCTATTACAGATGTTCTTTGCTGTGTGCGCCTTAGAATTCCACGCATAACTAAATGCTGAAAGCCTTCAGACACTCAAAAATCCAGTATGCAAAACCAAATAAGAACAAAGTCTAAAAATCTGCCTACAAGTGTTAGGGAGACTTTAAAAAATTATTTTTTGAACTTAAAATATCCAAAGTCCCATTCAAAGATGATTTCAGTCCTAGAGTTGTTTGTTTACCAGATCTATCCCTGTTACTGCTTCCCAGTAAAATATTTCCTATTAACAATGCTTTTGGGTCTTAGACAATTTTTAAAAATCACTATGGAACTTTAAATTCCACATACAGTTATCTTCATTGCAGCTTGAGCTACATGGTTCTGACAAGAGATGTCTCAAATCCCCCCCCCCAGTGACACAGCTCATATTATTAAAACTATAAAACTTCTTGTTAATTTTATTTTACCAGCATTTTTAAATTTTAAAAATGGGTTGATGTCTTAGGCAAAAATTGTACAAATATATTACAAGATAGAAGGGACCTGAGATGTTTTTCATGTGATCACACCACAAACCAAGATAGAGCAATTATTTAAAAATCCACAGCAGGAAATTTCACCCTGGTCTATCATTACATTACATTTGCAAAACTTTCACATTTTGTATTTCACACATTCTGAACTATTGCTATATCATCATCTTTTTATATCAACACATTTTGTATGTGATCAGAAGTGATGGCGTGGTGTAAATTTTTAAAATTTTTCATAATTCTTTTCATATTCAACTTTAAGAGTGAATCCACCGATCCTCTTAAACTGGAGGTTGACAACTCAACGACTGACAATGAAACTCAAACGAGTTCTTTTATGCCCATTTGTTCTCACAGTAGTTTCTGAGGAAATCGAGTTCTTAGAAAACCGCAGGAGTCCTGAGTTAGACACAGAACCAAAGGTTGAAATCCTACTCCAGATTTTCGCTCAACCCAAGTGATTGACACATGATATCACTGGGGGCGGATCCCGGCGTGGAGGTGGAGGTGGCTGTGCTGTTGAAATGCTGCGGAGTCCGCGCGGGAGCGCTAACTACGCAGTAGTTTGCTGCGATCCCGCAGACCGAGCTCTGCTGCGAATGGAGCTGCTGCGGGTGGCGCACGTGTGTCCGTAGAGCGGGTACCAGTCTCTGCACTAGGTAAGAACCCTTTCCTCTCTTTTCTTCCGCCGACATTTTGGCAATGATCAGGTGAGGAGTGGTGCCCCCCCCTTTCTTTCTTTTTTTTTTTGCAAGGAACTGGACGTTTCTTTGAGCTCGCTGCGGAGCTGGGATTATTCCCAGACTGGGCGCTCTGCAGGTCCGCCCTCCAACTGGAGAGCAGTGTCCCTTTCGCTTTCCCCTTGGCCAAGCAAGTTTGTTGCGTGGAGCGATTGCTCGTGGCACCGGGCGGCCAGTGCGAACCGCTGCCCGCAGCGATGCGCGCACCCCCGTGTTTGTTTAGGCTTTGTTGGCGCCAGGATCTCGGCGGTGCTAGTCCTAAACCTGAATTTCTTGTCCTTGAGTATTGATTTCCAGCGCACCGACGCGCTGCTTGGACGCTGTTTGAACTCCTGGGCATTCTGAGGGGCAAAACGTGCGACGCTGCTTTCTGCTGGGGCTAGTGGTTGACATGCCGCCGGGCGGCCGGCCTGTCAATCACCGCAAGCACCGACTGCCGCACCGGGCGGCTCGTCCGGGGCAAGCGAGCAACTCACGAGTTTCTGTCTATCCTTGAACGCAGCAGGCGTAGCGACTGCGGACCCGCGGGGTCGAAGGCCGGGGACCAAGCGCTGCAGAGAGACGCGGACCTACGGGGGACGGAGCTCCCGGGACCGGAGCGATAGCGAGCAGCCAGGCCAGAGCGCGGGACCTGGGACGACGCTCGCCAGTCTCGTCTGAGGAGCCCGGCACCTGGCGCGCCCCTGCCCACCGCGGCCTGCGCCTGCCCCACGCGAACGAGACCTCTGGGCCAGCGCACCGAGCCACCCGGCGGCTGGTTCCCGGAGCGGCCGCGGGACCACAGCCTCCGGCTGATGTCCCCAAGCCGCCCTAGGTCGCCGCGAGCGCATCGGGCGGAGGAGCGCCCCTGCCTGGGGGCCGCGGAGGCCGCAGCAGGGGCGATGCGCGCCCGGCCGCCCCGCCGCCGTTGATGCGGCGCGTCGCCCCAGTCTGCTCGGGGTCCAGGGCCGCCTAGTGTGGCTGGACCGCCACCGGCGCCGCTTTGGTCGCGGTGAGTGCGCGCGGGCGGCAGGTGTGGGCGGCGGGGACGTGGGAGCGTTTCCCAATCTGATGAGGGGCTCCGGGACGTGCCCACCGCGGTGCCTTGGAGACGCCTCCGCGCTCCTCTTGCACGTGTGTGCACGCGTGTATGCCTGCGTGTCCCGAGCACCCCCAGATCGCGTTGAGGGCCCCTCTTCCCGCTCCTGCAACCTCCTGCCTGGGTTTGCTCGCGGCGCAGTGCCGCGGGAGGCGGGGAGAGGGCGCTGCCACTTTAAATGCGGGGACGGCAGCCCCTTGAGGTCACTCTGCAGCCTCCTCCCTCCCGCCCGGCGCCCGCCGGGGTGGGAGGGGTGGGGGTGGGGAGTTTGTTTTCATTCATAACTTTTCCCTTGCCTGCCTCTGGTCAGCAGTGGACCAGCGGGGGCTCCGTGCGGGTGCAGAGGACGCGCCCCGCGGGCCTTGGGCCTTGGGCACCCTGCACCGGGAGGCTCCGCGCCTGACCGGATCTCCGCACAGGTATTGCCCACTTCGTGGGAGACCGTCCTGGACTGGAAGGGAGAGACTTGGGGCAGCGGAGGGGCTTTGCTTTTTGCTCAATGCACCAGCCAGAGAGAAATTGCTGGGGACTGCCCTGTAAAATGTGAATTAAAGTTGTGCCTGGTGGTTTTGATTACTCAAACCATTCCCAGGTCTTCCTTTCTTCTGGATCAGACTTGATGCTTTTAAACACGCTTTGCTTTCAAAGTACTGGATTAAAGTTTTTGTTTTGGGTTTTCACACACACACACACACACACACACACACACACACAAACACACACAATTTAAGGAGTGATAGATACTGCGCAGGAGTGACGATTGGATGTTTTTTTCAGTATCCTTCAGGGAGGGCTTCGGCAATAACTCCTGCAGGTTATGGATGTAGAGAAGGCAGAATAAAATAAGGAGCCTCCCAGGACCTAACATAGGCACAGGGTCTGGGGACAGTAGTTAACCTTAGCAGTAAACTACTTTATTCGTTAAGACAGTTTTCCCCTCTTTTGGCAAGGGGTGAAAGTGCAGATGGATTATTTTTAAAGCCTTGAATTGGGTTGCATCTGTGGATTTAGAAAGCATTTGTGTGAAAAATATCCTAGATAACCACTGCTTGGAAATGGAAACTAGAGTTTGGTTATTTAATGAAGAATACATTATAAATTGGAAACAATTTCCTAGTAACGTGGAAACAGATGTTTGTTTTTATCAGGATATTAGTGTATTTATTTTATTGCATGAAGCACATTAATTCAAAGTTGGCAGTGCTTTTGAGAATCAGTCTGTTATGTAGACAGACTTTTAAATGAAAGGAAATACAGATAATGAAAAAGACCAGGACTTCCTCTCTGCTTTAAATGCCTGACACTTGCGTATAAAAGTTAATCTTGTTACGTGAGTGAGCCCTTGTTTAACTTTTGAAGAAAGCATGAATAGTCTGTTCTGACATTCAGACGGGTACATTGAGTTTCTTGTGTGTGATTTAGTGCCTGTAAAACAGCAAGAACTATTGTATTCTCCACTTTTTTTCAATCTCATAGATGAGTGATGAGCTCCATTCAAAATCCTAGTTTCTGCTGAAAAATGACCTTTTGAGATTCTACCCTACTGTGGAATATCTTTAGTGTTTTGGAAAATGCCTTGATTAATTTTCTCATTAATCTAAAGCTCATAACAGCACACAGATGGCCAAGGGGCAACAGCACCAAAGTCATTCTTAATTTTTGAAACATAGTAGACATTTTCTGTATGCAAACCGTCAGTGAACTGATACTGAACTTTCTGAGAGGCGTTCAGGGCTCACATGGAATAGTCCCTTCGAAGGCGTATTTCATTTTAATTATTTGTTAAGTTCGCAAACAGGAAGACATCACTTCCTCTTGATTCTCTTTTTAAAAGCTGGAGTAAGTTTTAATTTTTATGGCTCAGGTCTTTTGCTTACATTCTTCCTCTGTGATGTGGTCCACAGCCTCTCTCAGAGTTGGACTCCAGCCAGGACTCTGCATCATTGAAATCCTATGATGAAGGAGATCGTTGCCAGGTGGTTTAAGCAATTTGTGACTGGACAGGATCCCCTCCCCCCAAAGCTTCCCCTCCTTCATTTTCTCTCTCACACTCTTTTAGGATTTCCGATGCATGCCAGGTTTCTGCCGACTGCCAAAATTGGAGATCACTCCACATGGATTCCCCAAGTCAGCATGGCAGCCACACATCCCTAGTGGTGATCCAGCAGCCAGTTCTGGATGGCCGGCAGAGGTTAGACTATTACAGGGACACTCAGCCTCCTGCAATTCTGTCCCTAGACCAGATCAAGGCCATCAGAGGCAGCAATGAATACACAGAGGGACCATCAGTGGTGAAAAGACCAGCTCCTCATACCAAACCACGACCAGAGAAGCAGGAAAGGACTCATGAAATCCTACCAGCAAATGTGAATAACGTCTATGAGCACCGACCTGCCAGCCCCCCTGTGCACGGAGGACTTCCAGGCAATGCCAGGGACTCTGTTTTGAGCAGATCCACCAGCACAGGAAGTGCAGCCAGCTCTGGGAGCAGCAGGAGCAGCAGTAGTAGTAGCAGCAGCAGCAGTGCCTCCTCCAAGCAGGGCCTGTTAGGAAGATCACCACCCACCAGGCGGCCAGTCCCTGGTCATAGGTTTGACAGGGCTATCCGGACCCAGCCTAAGCAACTGTTTGTTAATGACTTGAAGTGTTCCTTGAAAGAGAACCCCACCCAGCACAAGTTCATCTGCGAACAGTGTGGCAAGTGCAAGTGTGGAGAGTGCACGGCCCCTAGGGCCCTGCCCTCCTGCCTGGCCTGCGACCGGCAGTGCCTGTGCTCTGCAGAGAGCATGGTGGAGTATGGAACCTGTATGTGCCTGGTCAAGGGCATCTTCTACCACTGCTCCAACGATGACGAAGGGGATTCTTACTCCGATAATCCGTGCTCCTGCTCACAGTCGCACTGCTGCTCAAGATACTTGTGTATGGGAGCCATGTCTATGTGTTTACCCTGCTTACTCTGCTACCCTCCTGCCAAGGGCTGCCTGAAGCTGTGCAGGGGATGTTACGACTGGACCCACCGCCCAGGCTGCAGGTGTAAGAACTCCAACACTGTCTACTGTAAGCTGGAGAGCTGCCCTTCAAGGGCTCAGGGGAAACCATCATGATTTCTGGAAGTGGGTTGGACCTCCTGAACGTCTAGCTTTCAAATTGTGGCTGTTAAGAAACATGTTACTAGATGCAGATTTTCTTTGCTCTAGGGTTTTTCTCTTGTTTTCTGCCTTCTCTCCTTTGTTTCCAAGGTGTGATGTGTGGATTTTACTCTTATCTTGGATGTTCCTCAGTAGGAGTGAACTGTGAAACTGTGCCTGACTCCCTCTCACAATCACAGCCACCCCCAGTTGGGTGCTGGGAGCTGTGGGTGCTTGTGTAGCCTTTCTGTGCTACAAGAAACTTTCCATTGTGCCTATGAGCATGTACCTTGCTCAGATGACAGTGGCTCAGAGTTATCTGGGGTTGGGTACTATGGGATCAGGGGCTTGGTTTGGTTTTTAAAAAGAAACCATTTAAGTGCTTAAATAAGCTACATAAGCTACCTATCAAATCTGACTCTTGTGAGAGCTATCTTCCTGGCCTTGGACCCCCAAGTAGAGTGAGAAGATCTATTTTTGTTATAACACAAGTTCCCTCTAACTGCTCACTGCCTGCTCCTCTTTGGTCCTCAGTGTTTTCTCCGAAGTTTTAGTGTCACTTCTCTGTGGAATGCCAGTGGGTTTTCCTCTCCTTTTTTTTTACTGTGTAATTATAGATTCACTTTGCAACATGGTCTTCACATTGGAGATTATATTGGTGTAACTTGCTTATTCTCACTCTAGCTTCCGTATTTGTGAAGGGCTCACTTTTGCTGTATACCCTGCACTCTTCCCTAAATTTTTGTTGTCATTGAGGGCACTTGGGCAACTGAAGTTGAAATTCCTGACTGATTTGCCCCTAGGTCAGGAAGCTACAGGGCCCTAAAGTACTTCTGGTTCCTAACTGGTCTTTGGGCTCCTTACCTAGCAGCTGAATAATTCTAACCTTTCCTATGTTTTTATTGCCTGAACCACAAATTGTGGTGCTTTTTTTATATTTTATGTATAAATCACAAAGTTGAATCCTGGCTATTTTTTAAGACAAAAGTCTGTTAAACTTTTTTTATTGTAAAGAATATTTATTATGCGAATCTCTTATTTTATGATATTTATTGCAAAAGACTGTTGAAATGTACTCATGTCTGAATATAACAAACTATCAATACTTAATGGAAAATAAGATGACACAAAGAAAGTACATATGTTAACTATAATGCAGAAAATATATTAATTAATGAAACTGTCTCTTGATTTTATCATTTATAGCCTGTATTGCTGTGGACTTTTGGTTGCTTGATTTGACCTTCTTTTTATACTTTTAACTTACCAAGTCTAGGCACAGGGACCTCATTATAAACTGCATGTTTCCTGGAAAATACATTAGTTAAAATTTTATAATCTAAATTGTTTCATCAAATGTTCAGGTGAATTGTGCTTTTTAAAGTGAAAATTTTTTGTAAGATTAATTCCTTCGGCTATTTTGAAAATACGAGGTTTTGTTTATATCATAGTTTCTTGAAATGAAGTTAAACAGTAATTTTTTTTTTTTTTTTTTTTTTTAAGACAGGGTCTCCTGTCCTGGAACTCGCTATTTAGACCAGGCTGGCCTTGAATTCACAGAGGTTGCCTGCCTCTACCTCCCAAGTGCTGGGATTAAAGCCATGTACCACCACACCTGGCTCTAAACAGTTTTTTAAAGCAAATATTGTTACCTGCTGGGTTAATCAGAAATTATTCTTCATCAGCAAGTCTTAAAGAATTCTGTAAACGTGCTAAGAGCTTCCTGTACTATCACTTTAACAAAGTGTTTTTTTTAAATCAGGAATTAGGATGTGTTAGAGAAATGGCTCACGGTGCCAGAGAACAACTACATAAACACCCCTGTCCCAGCCTCACCTTTTCCTTCCTTCTCGTGTCTCTTTCCTGAGAGTTGGTCAAGTCACATTCTGTGTCCTGTAGAAAAAGAAATGTGAAGACGTGAAACTTCACATGAAAAGAGTCATAGCGCTTTGATAACCTTATTTTTAAGTCCTGCAAAGCCACTATGTGGCTAGTGTTTTAAGGTCTGGATAGGATTTTGCATCTCATGTGGTGGCCTCAGTCTCAGGTCAGGGATCATCCTGGGCATCAGAGACTAGGATGGTGTCATAATTCAAACTCAAGACACTGGAGCTCACCCAACTTTCTGTCAGGTGATTCTCGTAAATTCTTCATAACTAGGTTTTGCCTTCCTTAGTCAAGTTGTAATGCTTTTCCATCAGGCCACTGAAAGCTGTTGATTGGACACAGGCTATTTGATATGTCAAGTAATTTCTCTGTTCAGCCAGCAAAATAATGTTTTAAATGAATATTATGTTTAAAGGCTACTTTGTAATCTATGGTTTTAAAAAAATGAGAATTTGATTATTTCCCTTTAGTCTCAAGTCATGTGACCTGGTGTCATTGGTCTCTTAATACTTTCTTGAGACCTGGCTCTTTAATGAAGTACATCAGCAACAGGCTGTTCCAAACTGTGTGACTTTTTGTGTTGTTACTCAGACTCTTGGTATAATTAGCAGTTGGTGGGAGCACTGTCTTCAGCTGTAGTAACCAGACTAAGAAGTAATGGCTCCTACTGAAAGAAATTGAGACTTTTTATGAGAATGAGGTGTGATGTAGAGTTAAACTTCTGGCTGTCAAATTTTAACTTCTGACTGTTGGCAGAGGTCATTATACTTCTGGTGTTAAGATGGCGCTCCAGTCTGTGCAGATGTGGTAATGGGTAATCAGTTGGCTTTCTGATAGGCCTGTCAGGTGTCAAAGTATAGACACTTCCATTCAGACTTCCTCCTCTATGATGGTTAAACTCTGGGAGGAAACTTGGGTAGTCCTTTAAGTGCCAACCACTGACATGTACTGAAGGCTTTGGAGGAGGCAGAGTACATGACAAGGCCAGCACCATGTATTCAGTACCGGTGGCTGGAAAGGGCTAAGCTTTCTATTCTGCACATTTGCTCATTCTACTCCCAAGTGGGACCTGACACAGAGTGGTTCCTTTTTTAAAAAAACTTGTAACCCAAGGTAGCCTTGAGATTTTGATCCCTTGCCTCAGCTTCCAGAGTGCTGGGAGGACCCTCCTACACATGGTGCTGGATTAGTATTGAGCAAATGGTTGTTTTTTTTTTTTTAAGGAAAAAGTTTTAATTTCAAAGAAGTCTTACTGCCTTAGGTAATTTAATTGTGAGTAAAAATATAGGATTTCTAAATTGAGTGATCTCCTGTATCAAAACTTCTAAAATGTAACCCAACAGGAAAGGGAAATGGACAGAGTAGACTGTTTCCTTCTATGAATGTCTAAGGGAATCTATAAGCCAAACCATAGAACATCCTAGGTATTAGTTAAAAACAGCAGTCTTGAAAATGAAATGAAGCTGAGCATTGTGGCTCCTGCCTTTTATCCCAGCCCTAGGGAGGGAGAAGCAGGTGGATCTCTGGGAATTCCCAACCAGCCAGACCAGTGTGGTTTGACCCTGTCTCAAACAAAAACAAAACAGTGAAAGGAGGTGAACTAAAAACTAATTGAATAGTTTTTTTTTTTTTTTACTGATTTTGAGTTGAACACAAATATTCATTTGAAAATGTGCTTTCTGAGCCTAGAGAAAGTTCATGATGTACCTCTAAGGACGAGTGTGACCTGATGGTGACACATTAAACAAGGGCTTTATTTTATTTTGAAATTATCATCATTACTTAAAAAAAAGTGATGGATTTTGTGGCAGATTTTACAACCAGAAAAACACCAAGCCCCTTTTGGAACATAACAAATTGAATTGATTGAACAAAATTGTCTAGATGGTCCTTAAACTATTCAAGTTTCCACTGTACTTTTTTTAGATTGCAAGAGTTTGGTGTTTTAAACATAAATGTTTAAATTCTTCCTTTGGCAAATTAGTAGTTGGAGATCTGCTTTTTTCCACTAATTCACAGATTACGATATGATCAAAATACCCATATATTTATCTGACAGATAGCATCATGTTTTCTGATCACTGCCAGGCCATTACTTACTGAAATATTCAGAATTCTAGAGCTACAAATAGATATCAGTGTATATCTTTTAAGTATTTTATTTTTATGTTACTGTTGTGTGTTTATAAGTGTGATAGGAGAGGGGGCACACTCATACCAATGCCACAGTGCACTTGTGGAGTTCATTCTCTCTTTCCATCAACTGAGTTCCGGGGATTGAACTCAGATCATCAAATGCCTTTGGCAGCAAATGCCTTTATCCACTGAGTAACTTGCTAGCCCCCCTGAGTTTATTTTAGTGTTTCTTTACCGTGTCTGAAAACAGGAGCTAGTGGCTAAAATTTTTATAATTGAGAGGTATAGGTCATAGATGAGACTTGTTACGTCAGAAGAATCTCCCAGGAAGGGAGCTGGAACTATTTTCAAAGACTTCTTGGATGACTTTATCAGGTGATTTGGGAACTGACTCATTTAGGTTGGTGTCTTCTCTTTGAGACTGGAAGCAAAACCATGGCTTCAGAGAGTAAACAGCTTGTACTAGCTGGGGTCCAACTAGAATTCTTTCATGTGGTACAGAAAATTTCCTTCATTCCACAGCCAGTTTGGCCTCTGGCTGCACATCTCCTTTACCATCCCATTCTTTTTATCAGAAAGTCTTTGCTTCATAATCAGTATACTTGACTCTAAGTTAAGAGACTCTTCTGCACTTTAGTTCAGGTATCAGGAACAAGTAGCAAAAGGCTTTGTCACCATGGTTATTTTTCATATGTTAACATTAAAATTAGCATAGGTCTGAGCCTGTGTTTGTCCTGTCCAGGTATTCTGTGGTAATAGTACAACAGACTGATTAGTTAGTTTGTAAGAGGCACAGCAACTTGGTGTCTAGATTCAAGAACTCGAGTGATGATGGCACTTCTCATTTTTCTAACTGCATTGAGATTACAGGGATTTAAAAGCTGCACTAAGGGTCCTTTTCTGCATTCTTAAAAAGATTGTTGTTGTCTGTCAGATAATACCGTAAGACGCCTGCTAATAATTTTAATTGCAAAAGCCAACAGAGAGTTTAAGACTGCTTTGAACTGGGTGCTTAGCAAAATATCCTGCTGTACCGCTCTGGGAAGCTGAGAACTAATTTTCATTAAATAATCTTAGAATCATAATTCGCATGTAGAAAAGAAAATCTCTGGTCATTTAATCTAGTCTTTATTTTAGAGAAGTTCAGGTACCACAGAGGTTAACTTGCTTTCGTGAACAAAAAACTTGATTTCTGCATCTGTTCCTATAGAAGGAAGGAGAGCAGGGCTGACCAGGGAGATGGGGGGTTGGAAAGATGTTCCAGGTTAATGTACAATAAAATTGAGCAAATTTGTTAAAATAGTGGATTAGACGGCAGTCTGAGAGAGACGAACCACCAGAAAGAGCCACACAGAGACCATGGGAGAAACCTGGGCATATGCTGGCGAAAAGTCAATTCTAGGTTGGCCAGCTGAAGATCCTAGAGTTAAAATCATGCTGTCAACCTCTTGAACAAAAAACTCTTTACCCTAGAATCTCTGGGAGGGGCCTTGTCTTTTGATTCAGAAACAGCTGATATGACCCCAAAGTTCAGGCAGCAAGAACTTTGGAGTTAAGGATTATAAGTGGGCATCAAGAAACTGAAAGAAAAACACCAGAACCCTTAAAGCAGAATGGCTTTTTCCCTCTTTGCTTTCAGTTGTAAAGAAGAGGAATACACGAGAAAGTAACTGGCTTGATTTCTTTCCTTGTAGAATGCTTCTGAACATCTAATTTTTTTCAGTTATCAAAATAATATGCCTCCAAAAAAAAAAAAAACCAAACCAAACCAAACCAAAACAACAACAACAAAACAAAATCAACAGAGATCAGATGAGAAGAGAAATCCAGAGAAAGGAAGGTCCGGAAGTGGTGAGTTGAACAGAGCAGAATGTGAGAAGTATGAAGGATGGCAATCCAAAGTGTTGTGAGGTTATTTATATGTGGGTTTGAGATGGAGATAATTGAGAATAATACAAAGATTTGGGGCAAATGGGGGAATATTGGTTCTATTGAAAGAAATGGATGTGATTCTGGTGGGGGCCAGAAGATCTGAGACCTATGGAGATAATCACTTACCATATAAGTAGAGTGGCCAGCAGGTGGTTGTCAAAAGGTCTGGAATTCAAGAGAGGTAAGTGATAGTTTATGATCTTTTTGGTCTTTTTGAGAC